CTCTGATCGGTAGTTTCCAATGGTTTCTCCGATCAACACCAGTACCTTAACTAATGGGCCACGGACCGTGCACTGTCTTTCCGTCCTCTGCCTTGTCCTTCTTAAGTGCGAGAAAGTAAAAACATTGGAATATTCGACATCAAACTGCCTGAATGGATACTATCTCATCACAAACATAAATGGTTGCATTTGCAATCGTTCATTTCAATATGAAATGCAAAACGCAATTGAGAAAGATATTATTTTAATAACATAAGCGCAATAAAAGAAAATGTTTTAACGATGTCACTACACAATGCAGTTGGTCCAATACAGTTGATAAATAATCGATTCGAGTCATCAAGTATAGAAAAGTGAAGACAGGAAAGTGTAGTAGATACGAAGTAGTACATTTGTAGTATATGTGTAATACATATGAAGTATGTAAGTACATTATATAAGGATTAAATATGTGTAAATGAAACAAGCGTTATACGGATAATTATAAAAGTGGATTGATAGTATACATTTGTAAATGCATCTTTCATCAGATTTGCACTAGTTCAGGTAAATAAATTACATATTGTATGACAATAAAACATTCTGCTTCTGTATCCAGGAGTGTTTCAAACACACATCCCCCCATTCGTTGTTAAACGCGAAATATCAATCCAATGTAAAAGAAAATAATATGTTTGTGTTTACTGGTTTTATGCATTGCTGACAACCTTTTTTAAATGTCAAGAGCTCTCTGAGCACATACAAAAAACGTTTATTAGTAGGGTGATCATTCTTTGAGCAAATTTGAAATTTGTAATTGTTTTAGTACTCTGATCATTTATTAAAAGATGTACTACAATATTATGTTTCTAATAACTTCTTATAATAATAGCCTTAAAGTTGGAATTTCTTCGGCTACTCTATGAATAAATATAAAATAGGCTAATAAAATGAGGGGATTACCAATTTTCAGTTACATTTACTCTACCATCAGAATTTTAAGTTTTTTAAAATATTTTTAGAGCTTTAATTTTTTATAGGAAATAAGATTGTGCATTTGTATTATTTGTGTGCATTGGAAGAGGTCATTTGCTTCGGTATTTTCATCCTTAAATAATATTATTAAATTAATAAATCCCATTGGATTCGGGCTGGAATGCATTGATACTCAGAGCAGTCAGGTATCATCGCCATGTAATCCTAAATGCGACTTCTCACTTCAATTTTAGAAAACTCCAAAAAGTTTTATGAAACTTTCAAGTCCTCGGTAGTACGAGTTAATATTATTTAATCGATTCCTATTTTTTTTATTAAAAAGAATGAAGGGGGAGATTGCATAAAAAGTAATATTACTAAAATTATCACCATTTTATTATTCGCACTTACAACAAAATAACTGTCCCATCACGAATATAATTTTCGCAACGTATGCAGCAATGCAAAGTATCGTAATGTAAGCTATTGTATTACAGACAAACGAGATATCGAAACGTGCGAGCAGTCGGTTAACGCCGTTTCTCAGAACGTTCTCATGAGCGCTTTGCGTGACGCACATTATCTTCTGCACCCGCGGCGAGTAACGCGACACTTCAAAGCCCCACAAAGTGGTTCCACGAACGGCAGACTCGCTACTCGTTCCCGCATTCAAAAACACCTCGCATTTAAACACGGTACCTTTCAGAGAGGTCTGAAAATAGGTTTTGTTTCAATGACGCAAAAGTCATTAACCGTATTTTAATGTAATTTTTTTACAACCTATTTCGACAAGGAAACAAAATCTCTATATCAACAATAACGTAGTTTTGCGATTTTTTCGGTTTTCGAATATGCACTGTATTAACCGAATACCATTTTTATTAGCGTACAGTGCTCTATTACAGTTTTTTTTTTTTTAAAAAGTAACTTTAGATACGTTTTTAAGAAAATAAGAATATTTTTGAAAAATTGCCTACATCTCACCTAAAATTTATCAAAAACTATTCATATTTGTACATTTCCTTATTTCAAGATGTCTTTGAAGAACAAATTCTCTAAAGAAAAAAAACTATCTACAAAATTGTTTTGTCCGAAAAAATTAGAACTTTTGCAATTTTCTACAATTTAGACCAATCAAAGAAAATCGGATCTGCGCCATTTTATAAGCGTAATTTGCCTCTTTAAATAATTAAAAAATGTTGAGCCATTTTTTGGGAAAGAGTTGAAAATTTGATTATGGCTGTTAAATTTCAGTTTTTTGTTTTTGTTAATATAAAGAACCCCCAAAATCAAAATATCCATTTCTAATTCAAGGGGCTGCGACATCAGCCAGTTCGATGGGGAATATCAATTTTGACGAAAATCCTATTTACGATTTATGCTCTAGCACTGTCACCAGACGGTTAGACAAACGGACGGACGGACAGACGGAAAGACAGAGGGACGGACAGACGGACGATGTTTTGCCGTATACCAATTTTTCGGTATCAATGGCCCACTAAATATATTCTATTTACACAATATGTCAGAAAAAAATTTTCTTCATACATGAACATGAATTGTTCGTTTTTTTCTGTTTTAAGATGTGAGTTTTTGTGCAGAAAAATCGGCGTGTTCCGTTGTAAAAAATTTTGGATCATCTAGTTTTCTCCGTCATGACCGTACGCGAAGCACTGCGGATCTATATTATTTGCTGCAATTTCTCCCACACGATTTATCGGGATGCGTTGCGCTTACTCCATCACTGAAGTAGGTAATAGTTTAATATATTACAAACCCAATATGTTTATTTTTCTTTAAATTTGTATTATGAACAATACTTTAATAATATTTCAAAATATTTCTTAATATTTAAAATTTATTCTTTTTCGTTATAACGTAAATCGACACCAACTCTTTTATGAAATACCAATGCCAATTCATCATAGCTTTCTTAAGACGTTTGCTCACTCCTGTCTTCTGGTATCTTAACATCGGCTTGCAGAGAATGTGTGATATTCGAAAGCGAACCGAAGGTTATTCACATGCTCTTTGGTTCGATAGCCAGCCTTATTGATGGTGGGCAATTTCCCCAAGTTTTGGGGAAATTTTAAGAAATACATAAATAAACACATAAATTAATTTTAATTATTGGAAAATAGGGAGTCAAAGAGTTCATGATTACAACGCAACCCTTGATTTTTACACCCAAAAGACGTGAAAATGTTCAAATTTTGTAACCGTAGACTATAAGGCAATAATACTCGTATTTACTCAAAATATATACAGTAACAATAAACGGGTAGTCCATCTTTACCATAAATTTTAAAATGCATTTTTACGTTAAGTGCTAATTTTTAATCAGGGTTTTAACATATTTACAGAAATAAAATGTTTTATTACGTAAGGTTACGGGACCCCTTTCAAAATGTTCAGGGAAGCCACAGCCCCCTCACCCCCTGAGCACGCCTCGCTATGCTTCCCAATACAAGTCAAACAAATTTAGTTTTTATGGATTCTTACTAAAGAGGTTTTTTATTTCATAAGTAAGCACATCCAAATCTTTCATCACAAATATGCAAAAAAAATAAAACCTATTTGGAGAAAATGTGTGTAAAGAGTTGTTAAGCTGACTTGGACAACAAAACGAACAAGTATTATTTACAAAGTATCATCCGAATCAAAATATTCCACTCATATTTTCTGGGCTTCGGGTTGAGTCTGGTAATGAACAGAAAACGAGCAATTATGAAGTAACGCCAGTGTCAAGTGAAAGTATTAGATTAGTCCTTCGCCCGGCCTCAGGATTAACAATTTTGTGGGGAAAAATAAGGTATCGATTTTCCCGTTAAGTGGTTACTATTTCCTCCAAAATTCTGAGAAGTAGATGTCGTGCAGTATCTACTTTCTTTGCAATTATAAAAGCTTTCCTAGTGCAAATATATTTTGTATACATATACACGAATATAATTATTCTAACAAAATAGATTATGTGGATTATTGACTTGTTTTGTTTTTGTTCTATTCTAGTCAAATTGCTCGGTAAAGTTCAATTTTACAATGATTTATTTTTATTTGCTGGTATTTCATCCTTTCGGTGGTTTTAACTTGATTCTAAGACGCGGGAAACCTCTTGTTGCATCCCACGCGGCAATGAACAGAATTGCAGCTTTGCGCGCTCGGGTAGCGTAAATGTGAACTACAGAGCTCGTAATAAATCCGTGGGTCCTTTGAATTGCTTCTGCTGGTATAGGCGTTGATCTACCACAAATATACACCCACTACTACCATACACTCTTCGTTACCAACGAGGGCACACGAAGATTTACAAGTACTTTTTTATGGAGGCGCTTCATTTGCGATTATTGTAAATAAGCACATGCAATGAATAAATATTTAGCAACATGCGATTACGTAATTACGTAATATTAATTTAATAAAATATAAATTTTCCGTATACGTGTTACTCAAGTAAAATATACATTTCAAACAATCAGTTCGCCTGGAAACAAATGGGTAAATGCGTTCACATCTAAATTTTTTCATTAAAACAAAACTGAGTCAGTTTTCTACAAGCTTACTGCACAAGAGCTCCAAATACTTAACGGGTACCTTTCTAGATTTCCAAACAGTTAAGTAAGCAACCCAGTAAGAAATAGATCCAATGTGGGTCAAGAGGATTTATTTATTCTTGTGTAACATTTTAAAAGAACGATTTCACACAAATGGAAAAGTGGACAAAAAATATTTATTTGCTTCATGAACAAAATCAGTACAAGGAAATAGCCAGCTTTCCTATCTCATACTTTCATGAGGGAAATATGTAAATTTTCCCCAATATAAAATGCCTAGTTACCAAAGATAAAACAATTAAATTATCTTCAAATATCTGATTTTCTCCCCTGTATTCTCGTTGTTTCATATGGCAAAAGAACACATCATTCACATACTTTAACATCTACTTCATTCCTCTCACTCTAATTGAAAATATCACAATGAAACACTCTAGAAATTCACATAAAATATAAATAATGTACAAAAATTCCTTCATACTAATAACAAATAGTGTTCTAGATCACAAATACTTAAACAATGAACTTAAATTGAAGTAAAAATAGCATTAAACAATGCTCCAGATTAAGTTTTTCTTGATTGGCTCAATGTAATTATAAACAGTAAATAAAAATAATCACTTATTAATGTGTCCAAGGCAGTGTTTTGAGAAACTTGCAAACACAATTCTTCAAGTCACAGTTCAATTATTGTAGAAATGATAATGAATGTGGAATATACTTCTTAAATAACTCCACTCTTTGAATAACATTGCATCTCTAGTTTTATTCAGAAATTTGAAGTGGTCTTTTAAGGCATATTTGTGGACACTTTAAAAGATAATCTTTTGATTCACAGAAATAATTTGTAATGTGACAACTTGTGTCACTAATAGAGAGTCCATTTTGACTATTATTGTTTTTTGTAACAAATTGTTCTGTAATTTACATTCTTTGACCCATGTCTGGATCACCCCAACTGACTGATGTTCGGCCTATATTTTGCATTCGGACAGAATTTCTTCTTGCATTTACACCTTCAGTGTCATCATAAGCTCTGTTGACTTGGCCATTTCCTTCAAATACATCCTTAACACTTAGTCCAGCAGTGGAAGTACGGTGGTTGCGATTGTTCACTGGGTTGTTTATAGCAGTTGTAATACCAGTCATACCATATTCATTATTGGCCCCAAGAGTTTTCATTTGAGATTTACGACGTTCAGCCATTACAGAATTTTTTCTTACTTCCAAAGCTTTAATTGTCTCCTTTCTCAGAGTAAGCCTCCTACCAAGAACAGGTGTACCTGAAACAACAATCACAAAAATATTAAAGCAAATTTCAAAGTTTGTTATTCCCTCAAAACTTTTTGAATAATCAGAGTAAGGTAAAATTATCCCTAAGATTTTTCAATATTCCAACTATAAACTTTACAAGGAAGCATTAAAATATTTTCATTAAAAGAAACAGAATAATTGAAGGGATAATTTTGTTTTGTAATTTTATTTATTGGGAGTTCGATGGTTTCAGGATTTATAATTTGCCTTGTGCATTGTCATTCAGCAAGTTGCTGCAACTTCTACTAAGCTACTACTCTAATATTAATATCACAAGAAAGACATACATTTTTAGAGAATTTTCGTGTGATTTTTTCATTGATAATATGAGGATCACAGTTATTCTCAAAAACACTATATTATACTTACAGAATGGATCATAACTACCCTTCCCACATGAGAACTTGTGTGTGTGGAAACCAGTCCTCCCCCTTTCCCCACACATTTGTATAAAGAGAAAATATGTTTTAATAGAGTTTCTGAGATACCAAAAACCCCACTTTTAACACAAGAGGGCATAAGAGGCACACACCCACAAACATAATAAAAGGTTATAAAGATCTCATTTTGTTGCTTTTGACATGAGTGACATGATTCCAAGTTTTTGATTTTAAAAACAGAGATTTAAGGATCTAGAACACACCGTTCTTTCTTTATGCAATATTAATGCCGTGAAACAGAACATTAGATTGGCTATTTGTTGTAGAATAGCATTTGCACATGCCTAACTAGGCATGTTTCTTCGACAAATATTATTATATTAATGTGAAAGTCATATTAATTTTTATGATATATTCAAATATTTTATAGTTTGTGTAACTTTATCATTTGAGGATCAAAATGAGAAATGAATGAATCTGCCAAAAGCCATAAAAATAAAAGTATGTTTCACAGTAATTTAATAACTAATATTAATTTTTAAAATTCAGTACAATCATTTTAAGTCATTTAAATTTTCTGCAAAATCAAATGTACAGTGCTTCTTATTTGAGGAAAAATGTTACAGACATTTCAAAGAATTTTCATATCTCTTTATAACAAAAATAAAAAATAACTGTTTACCTGGCCCCTCTCCTTCTTGACCGAGTTGAAAGAATCTCTTTTTGAAAGCCACATCCAAAGTACCAATTGTTCTAGTCTTCTTTCTCTCTTTTTCCAAGTTATGGATAGTACGGCGACGTTCAACTTTATCAGAGCCAGAGTAATTTTCATCATCTCCATCAATGTCCTTAAGTCTTTGCATGTTTTTGGCAATCTCCACAAAGTTTTTATCAATAATTGCATCTTGAGACAGATCTTCAGCCTGTGAACCATCATAATAATAAATGTTTCTCCACTTATGAAAGAAAAATCCAAAACTGTTAACAGTAAGAAAAGTAAAGGGATAAACTACCTTCTTATTACAATACCAATTGAGTTCAGTGGAAGCCAATATGTGTGCCAGTGTTCCAAATCGGTGAAACAACATAGCAACAAACTGAATCACCAAAATCAGAGCAAAGAAGAACACAAACACGAGACCAATTGGCTCCAACTGCAGGTATTCTTTTGAAATTAAAACCTGGCAGGAAAATGAATTTATTAGTATTAATTTCTTATTACAGACACTAAGGCTTTATGTTATATATATATACATATTTACAAAGTTCACATGTAGTTACCAGCAGAAAACACATTGCAAAAAGGCAATTAACTTTAATTGAATATATTAATTTAAAACAAAATTAAGACTTTAAATCAGAAGAAATTATTATAGATTTTACATAAACAAAATTCAAAAACTATTCAGAAATCAATGACAATAAATTAACAAAAGACAAAAACACAAAATTCTAGTTTGAAATGTTAGGTCTTTCACCAGAAAAATATTCCACACCTGAAATTAAGATAGTTTAAGAAATAACTCAGAACCCATCAAGAATCACAATGCATAATACAAAATGAAAATTCAAAGTTTTGCACAGTTTAAGATAGATATGACAAAAGATTCACACAAAAGTATTTTAAAGTGATATGGAATCAGTTCTACTATTTAATGAACTACAAAAGGCATAAGGTTTTCGTGCCTCTCACAGCTCTTTAAAATAAAGATTGAATGAAACTTTATTCACATAAAAATATAATTAGATGAAAGTACATATCCTTTCCTGTATTATTAAATATAGAAATAGGCTTACACCAACTTAACTATAACCGGGGTTGGGCATATTACTTTAAATTTACTATTTAAATATTTTGCCAAACTACTTCATAATAGATATTTATATACATACTCCAAATACATTATGTTTTGAATTGCTAAATACTAATGTACGTAAAATACTTTAAATACTCAAAATACAGTAAATACAATAATTTTGTATAATAACTTTATTATTGTAACAATATATTGTATGTGTTAATTACAAAAAATGAATAATTGATAGACATACATTTCTAAACAACTCTGTGTGTATGATTGTGTGCATGTGTGTAAACACTTCAAATATAAAACGATATATAAATAATATGTCTAACTGAAATAAATGGAAAATCCTTTTAAAATGACTAGTTTTTGAAAAAAATCATTAGCCAGTAAGTTGCCGAATGTATAAAACCTTCAAAGGAAAACAGTCAGTGAAAGTGTTATAAGAAAACAGAAAGTGTTATAAGGAATAAATTATATTATGGAATTTTTTATTGTTGGATAATTGTGAACCACTTTTAATAATTTAGATTTATCATTTAAATATGAAGGGAATTCAAATTCAACAGCTGAGAAGAGATTTTATTTTTGTTTCAATGAGGTCCATTCACTGGCAGAATCAAACAAAAAGAAACTATCTTCTTCATCTGTATTTACAGCATTTTTAGTATTTCTTTTTTCTAATACACTTATTTTGTGTATTTAAATTCATCTCCAAAATACATGTTCAAAAAAACTCAAAAGCGCAATTTCTCAGATACAAAATGTATTTAAAATACATATTTGAAATAATATTGAAATACTGCCCAACCCTGACTATAACATGCAATTTACAGATATAACACACAAGTAGAGCACTTTCCACCTCAGAGTGCTCCTCCACAGCACAAGCAACAAGGACTGTCCATGTCTGCTGGCAAGTGGTTGCTCAGTATCTGTGAGACACATCTGGATGGACAAATATGTGAGAAATAAAAATGACAAAATGGTATGTGATGAAAGTGTATTGATTGGTATGGATACTGCAACTTGTTTGATGTATAGTGAAATGATATGGAACAACAGAGTGGAGGAGGATCAATATTTTACATTTCATTCTCACCAACTGGATACTCCCTTCACCTGTTGAAATTCATCTTTGTACAATTCTGTACAATATGAAAATTAACAAATGTACAAATAAAAGTGTGCTTCCTAATAACATGTCTACTTCTCTATATACGATTCCAGCTGTCTATAGTCATTCTAAGTGCTCAACAATAGGTGCTAGAACTACTCTTTGAATAGTATCCCAAAATGTATTTTATACATACGTGTACTACTCACTTTGCAGTGAATTTCCGCATAACTATGCTTGTGCTGTAGAAAGACATACACCTTTCTTACCAGCAAGTAGGTGAGTGTTCACATTGAAGAAGTCACCACAATAAAATTAATTTCATATAAGAAGTATTTTATTTAAGAAATTTTATAGAAAAATATTATTATATAACGTGTATTTTATATAATAATATAAGAAGGTTACAAGACAAAAGTAAGTCAGTTATGAGAATGAGAAACAGATATGTTATAAACAGAAGAACGATGATTGTGTGAAGGATCCAGCCCATTATTACACAGATCTGAGTCACCACCAATCCAAAGGAAACCGCAGATGTCTCCCTTCATGCTCTGAGACACCACTCCAAGACTGGTTTACCTCAGACGTCTCTTCAATAAAGGTGATATTTGTTCTGACCCCAAGGGGCCAATCAATATGTAGCATATCCTTATTGAGTTGCAGCAAGAAAACAATTAGGACAAACAAAGCATTGAACATGAAGAAAGCAAACACCGACTTATTGCGCAGCTCGATGAGATCCGCAGCTACCCTTGCCTGAAATGTTCATTAACAAACATGCAAAATTATTAGCAAAAGCTCTTTGATTGGATGTCACTGCAAAATGGTTTGATCTTCTCTGACCTTTCCTGTTGTTCATTAGACACTGAATCAACATCATCACAATTTTGTTTCAGTGTTACCATGCCACAGGTACATTTTGCAGTTGACTTCCTTTCGTTTCTACAAACTAAACTTATCTTACCTCCTGACTCTCTTCAATAAATGTTAGATTTGTTTTGACTCCAAAGGGCCACTTTATGTGTATTTTATCCTTGCTCAGTTGTAGTAAGAATACAATCAGGACAAAAAGAGCATTCAGCATAAAAAAAGCAAAGACAGAAGTATCTCTCAAATCTTTCAGGGCTTTAGATATTCTTGCCTAAAAAATAATAATTTGAGGTGAGGAAAAGTTAGAAAGAGATTGAGAAATATTGTAAGACGGAAGCTGTAAGAAATGAAACAAATTATAAAGTTTGTAAGAGTGAAGTATGTCTTGCTTCTGAAGGATTAATGTACCATTAATGTCAGTCATTGAGTACTGAGTGAGTCAAACCATTAAGGACTCTTTTGTCATTACTTGGAGTCAGTCATTTAGTACATGAGCGAGTCAAACCATTAAGGACTCATTCGTCATCACTTGGAGTCATATACCTAACAAATTAATACATTTTTATATAAATAATGTATTCTATGTATATTATTGAGAATAAAATGAATATGAAGGGAATTTTCCAAAATATCGTTAATAATTAATGCAAAAGAAATGTCAATCGAAAATGATTATAAAATGAGTTCATTGTGTGAATAAATTTCATAAAAATTTGTTATTTTAATGCAACTTTAAAACTATTAAATATGTTAAAGTAATTACATAAGAAAAACATGCTATTCATTATCCCTATCTCAAATATTCTTATAATTTTATTTTTGTAATAATTTTAAACTTGGTGAATAATTTTAATACATTACTATATTTCAGTAATTTTACTGCTTCATTTTGTAAGACTAATAAAAGGAAGAAGCAGACCTTCTCTTCCTTGTTTTCATCAATAGGATGTAGGTATTTTTCAAGAAGATCTTCCCAGAACTGTCTCTCTGCAGACGAAATGTAATCTACTTCTCCTTTCCGTAAATCACGATCTTCTATCCAGTATGGATTTACATTGTCATCTCGATCTTGTTTAGGTTCTGTAAGTTAAGGAAATTAATTATTTTTCAAACAGAAAATTTGAACTTCCAGCCTCTTCCCTTTCAGCTGTTTAAAGAAAGCTGTAATTTACAGATTACATCCCTTTAAACTCTGAAGAGTTGTGAATTATGATCAGCCTAGACCACAAAATGCATGTTATGCAATGTACAAATTTTAAAAAAAAGATGCCATTAACAAATGAAAATATATGAAAAGTTATAATAGGGAACATATATTTTAAACTAAAACTAAGATGAAGAAATTATGTTACTAGTCAAAAATGGACATATAAAAAAAGCAAACGAATTTCAACCCAAGGATTCCTTACAAAACTGTTGCAATAGCAAACAACAATTTTATTTAAGTTCCCAATTTTTAAAAAAATGTAACTGATCTCAAAATGGTTTTGTAACGGTTGAAATAACACTTCAAACTATAGGTGTGTGCAGCCCAAAACAAGAGGAGGAACCCACTACATTTCTGAGCCTCCTTTTCCCATAAATGTTTTATTTACATATGACATTTTATTAGTAACTAAATATAACATACTACCAAATTGTAACTTTAATGATAGAAGAAAATAAAGGCAATTCATATAATGTTGACCCATGTACAGAAATTCCAGATGGCTTGGAGAGCCTCATTCTCCAAATGTATAACAATTTCTCAAATTGTCAGTTAAAAAAGAAGGGCACTCAAGAATTAAAATATTTACAGAATAAAAAAATTTTATGTCCTAAGGCTAAGGGACCATTTTCAAAATTTTGAGGTGCAATTGGGCCCCTGGCTCGTTCTATGCGCATCCCTAGGCTTCCAACCAAGTTTTTAACTATTTTTTGACATTAAATAACTCATCAATATCACCATTGAACTGATGACTTTTTCAATGGATGGAACTCAGAAGATATTTTTAAAAGTAAGTTCTTAGTGCTTAAAATCATCATTAAGTCTTCGGGAGCTATAACAACATAGATATGAAAAAAAATGTAAATATTAAATATATTCAAAAAAATTATTGTGATAAATGCCAATATATTCAAAATAGAAGTAGCTTATACTGATGTTGTATGTCTCAAAGCTTAAAATTTGATACAGAGTATACTAAAGTAAAGTACAGTACTTAAGAAAATCCGTGTGAATTGCAGCTCTAATTATAAGTATTTGGTGCAGTATGAATTAATAATGGTGAGGATTATAATAGTAATAATAATAACAATTAAAATCTGTGATAAACATATAAACTAAGGAGTCATGGATGTGATAACTGTATTATGAATATGATAGAATTATCATGAGTTATTTTAGAAGATGAAGGATTATTATCAAGAACCAACCAGATGTTACAGTTTCACTATCATCTTCATGTATTTGATCCTCTTCTGCTGGATCTTCAGCTAAAGAACCAAGATGATCTCCACGACTATGTACAGATATTGTTCTTCTGCGACCTGTGATTTGTCCAGTAGGATCCATCACTCTGGAAAAGATATAAATAAAATTTATGTTATATTCACAGGCAGAAGCACACCAAGGATTTTTCTCAAAAGGGGAGGAGGAAGGGGCACGGTATTGTGTTAAGTGGACTTGATATTTTTTGAATTTTTCATTTATACCAAATACAAAATGAATTTTTAATTGTTGACTTATAGTTTTTATTAATAACATAAATAATTGAAATGTTGAAAGACTTCCATTAATATTGTAAATAAGTAAACGCTTTATTTTTTGTCTTCTGGAGGGGAGGGGAATTCTATTTATCTTCTCGAGGGGAGGGGAAATAATGCCATTAGCCCGTCCCCACATCCTCCTCCCCAGGTGTACAACTGGACTCAGTATCATCATATATTGTACAACTATAATACCTTTCTACACCATCCAATCGTTTGCCAATTGAGTCAAGTGACTCAGCAATTCTCAGTAATTGCTGTTTTTCATCAATGGATTTAGGATGAACACAGAACATACATTTGAAGAGCCCTGCAAGTGATATCTCAATTGATCCTTCATCACTGTCATCCTTGCTTCCACCACCTTGTAGCCATCCCAAGAGAGACTTCTGTCGGGCTTTCTTTTTAGCATCTTCAGCTTCTTTTCTTTCTTGTTCCAATTCCTATTGTTTCAAATTTAAATGTATTAACTGTGCTAAATTTCTAGATTAGCTTTATGAAATTCTATCCATTTACTTTATTTGCTAGTATGTTATTTATTGAATTAATATATTTGCAAAAGGTTGGTTTTATAATGCAGAAAAGGAAAGCTAGATCCAAAGGCACCATATGCAGTTTGTACAATGAAAAGGCTTGAAATTTACCTCTTTTGTCTTCTTTTTCCCAGTTTCTCTTGTGCCCCAGGTGACATCATTAAGATTAAAGATAGAATAAATAATCAGCAACAGATACATGCTGGGAATTGTGACATAATAAATTATTCCACAAGGCAAGCAAGAAAATTCCTGAGGATGTAATATGCCAGCAATAACTAATTCAGCCACCACCACGAAGAGGAACAAAGAGGATGGAGCTAAAACACCGTCTTCCTCTATTTGGAGGAGAATTCCAACCAGCACAGCCATCATGACTAATCCATATATTGAACTGATTATCATAGCTGCTATTAACTTTGAAGGAAAGAGAAATGTGAATTAGTAATATTAGCAGTATTAGTCAAAGCAAATAACATTATATTAGATTTTGTCAGTTATATTGATATCATACTGTAAAGCAGAACGTAGAACACAATTGCAGGAATTAAGCGAAGCAGTGCTGTGAATAGCAATAGCATGTGAGAGTTCACTTGCAGAAAGGAAAGCTCCTGTAAAACCAGACCCATATATTAACTGATTTGGATTATAAGCATATTTACATATAACATATTTACACTGGATGTTGTTAGTGAAATAGCTACTCATTTCACTAACCTTCTTTGTCTTCTTCACAGCAACTTCTCTTGTTCCCCATGAGACAACATTCAAATTAATTAAGGAGTAAAGGATAAGAAGAAGGTACATAGATGGGATGGACAGCAAGTAAATAACACCTGGTACAATGCACCAGAACTCTTGAGGATGGAGGCAGGCTGCTATGAAAAATGAACTGGACAAAGATATTAAGAAAATAGCAGATGGAGAGCCTATTCCGTCCTCACCCAACTGCAACGCTGTACCCACAATAACAGCCATCATGATCAGAGCATATGTAGTAGACAGGATCTGGGCAACTAGAAGCTAGACAGACACAACAATGCAACAATGAGTTCACATGGCCACATTTCTGTCAGACATCACAACATTACAAATTCACATAGCAACATTAAAGTAAGTATATAGAAAGCTCATTGATGACCATGAACCTTACCTGTATATTAGACTTGCATACAAAACATACAAGCATAAAAACAAGAATAGGAATGATGTTATACTGGAAACTTGTCCAATTATCTATGTGAAATGCTGCTACAAAAGCTCCCACCAACATAAGAAATATGGTACCAGGACCCAAGATTGTGCCACCCATAAGAAGAATCTGCAAATTAAAAGAAACGGAATAGTTTTCAGGAATTGATCATATAAAAATTATGTGAAGTAAGTATGATGTGAACTTTTTGATTATCACTAATTCAAATTATGCATTTAAAAAATGCAAATGTGAATTATCTTACCTGATAACCAATATAGGGCAAAGAAATATTGTCATTAATTTTTATTGTTCGTTTGTAATCCATCAGAAGATCCATGATGTTGGCCATGGTTGAAGGCACCCAGCGTCGACGTTGATTATAAAATTCATTGAAACCTTCTGGACAGTGTGTGTAAGCATCACTGGCAGCTGAATACTCTACTCTGTAACCTCTCTGAAGCAGTAATGTGCATAACCATCTATCCTCCCCTGAAAATAAACAAAGAATTTGATAAGATTTTCTGCCATGAAAACACATTTTAATTTTGGACAATCCAGAATACCAGAATGAAATGTAATTTTAAAATATTTATAAATGCCAAAACATTCTTCTTAGAATATTTCAATGCTAAAAAAATTTTTAAAAAATCATAAATACTAGAAGCAAGTGTCTCGTTTGTAGATAATATTTTAAGGATTAAATTTTTTATGTATTTCTTAAGAAAACTGCAAATTTAAATTAATTGGTTCTGAACTCATGGTATTCTGAGCAAGAAATATAAGTCAAAAGATAACAAGTACTGATTTTTAAAGATAAGGATGATGTGTTTTATACTAGAGCAATGCAGAACTTCTTTATTTCAGCTTTCAAAAAGATTATCAACAAAATAATTTTTTGCTTTTTAATATCATATTTACAATTACTCTGAAAAGTTAATGCTTCTTGTGACTATCTTACTTAATCAACTTACCTTGATCATACTGTACATAGTGCCTGGCTTCATCAGAACGTGTAGTATATTTAGCCATTACATTATCATCCATGAGAGCCTTTCCTCGGAAAAGAGAAAAGCATCCAGGACTACACAGCACACATCCAATCATATGCTCAGTTGCTTTTTGAAGCCAATGACCAATAGCGTACTCAAACATTTGGTACCATACCATAGGACCTATAAAAAGAGCAAGACTAAATAAGTGTGTAAACACAAAAAATTCAAGTCATTTCTTTTTTCAATTCCCCCCCTTTTTTATTATTATTTTTTTAAAGCGTCGATGAAAGGATTAATTTTCAAACCATGTTTTGGAAATCTTTTTGGTCAAATGTAGTTTATTTCAATTGTATGCCTTAATTTGTATTTCTACTCTATTCCATCTTATTCTGTGTTTTGAAATCCATCTTATCCTGAAAATTCAAATCAAGGAAATTGGGAAAGAAAATTTGGATTGATAGATTTAGGAATGTTTATTGGTTCAGATGCATTGGGCATTGAGTTTATTAATAAGGTAGCATGTCACAGTCCACCTCTTGAAACACAAGCCACATAGATGTATATTAATTACAATCGCAGTTAATGAAAATACTAAAAAAGTTGGTTTTGTTATGTCAGCTCTGATTGTCTATTTGTTGTTCCCTTCATTTCTTTGCTCTCTAAGGAAAATTTCTAATTCAAAGCCAGAATTTTTAAGGAAATAATAATTCTGGCAAGCAATCATTATGAAAACAAAAAACAAAAAAATACCTGAACCAACTGGATGAATACGCCCACATGCTGCACCAAGATTAGGATTCTTCTTCATGAGATGAATTAGTAAATGCACTGCATGGGGCTGGAAGTCAATGTCTCCATCCAAAGTAAGAAGATAGGTGTTCTGAGCTATTACAGCTTTTCGATCAACAGGTATTGGAAGCTCCATAAGACGGTGACCCAATAAGTAGTACATGTACATGACCTGCACCAACAAAATAATTTAATCTCACATTGTTGAAGAACAAAAATATTTTCAAATTGGTACTATTTTTGACAAATTTTAGTGGTGGTTACCTATGTATGAAAATGAAGGAGAGACTGTCATTTATAAATAAATATATTATTACTTAATTTATAAGTTATTAGTTAATTCTTAGCATAAAAATGTTTTTTTTGATGAATGGAAGTTTTAAAAGATATTGAGTGCCAAAAGACTACTTGCTATTGGTAAAGTTAAATGATATAATTACATATTTTCAACGGTTGTTTTATAAGTAGCAATGCCATCATCATTACTTATACTTCAATAAATTCGGTAAGTACCTTTGGCACCATACATACCATACTTAAGGTTACTTGGTACTTTAAGGTATTAAGTAAGTATGTGATAATAATTGATACATTTCAAATAATTACAGAAAATATTAACCTTTCTCAATAAGCAGTGATTAGTACTTATGGTGTCTTTAAAATTTCTAGTCTTCAATTGTTGTTAAATTAAAATGTGAATTGTCATTAACCTTCCCAGAAATGTTAAAAATATCTTTTATTGTTCCTAGGGTAGATCATACCTGACTCCAACGCTTTCTGTGTCTGATTTTGCTTTTATCTTTAAGATGAGCAATCATTTTGGTCTTTCCTGGAAGAGTCCAAACAAGGCGACCACCATATGGTGTTGGATATTTTTTGGGTGGACGCACTCTCATTGTGGTTTCATGAACAAGTGATGCAGCTTCATCAATAGTATCAACCAACAGTTTCACAAATCGATTCACTACATTTTCATCTTCATTATCATCACTAATTTCAAAAGCATCATCAAAGAAAATGTGAGCTGAAATAGATAAAAAATTCTTATTAGTAATTATATTTTACTCGAGACAATTTTCAATGAATTATCAAATCATACTTTCAAATTCATAGTAGTCTGGATCCACCACTCGCAAATATTTTTGAGCTACTCTACGAGCAGATTGATCTTCATCCAGGCGTAAGATAGATTTTAACATTTCCATCATCTCATCTTTAGTTTCGTGCCACATTGTTGCACATGCATAAATACGTGTAATATGATCAGATTGTTTTACATTGCTTTTAGGGGAAGTACTACTTGTGGTTGAATGCACTGATATGCTCTCATAGTAGTCATCATTTCCTAAGTCTGCCAATTCCTGTCGAAAAGAGAACAGAAGAACAACACATTTTATTTCTAATCATTTTTAAGGGTAAAATTATGATTCATATTTTACCTTTCTTCAAATCATTATACATTTGGAAATTGAAAATTACACAGAATAAAAAATGCTATTCATAGTATTACTGCAAAAATGTTGTCAACTGATTTTGTAGTTATTTCTTGCCAAAACAATTTTTGCAAAGCACAAACATTTTTCAAACCATCTATTCATGAAATGATATTATCATTATGAGTCAAATTTAAAGTTACTATTTTGTTGTGTTACAAATTAATTAGTCAATCCCTTTATTATTCCCTAACTAATAAATTCAATTAATAAGTAAATTTCATATTTTGGTTATAATACTTCAACAATATTCTGGGATGGACTGGGATAGTTTTTCAGGGGTAGTCCATTTCAGTTTCTAAGCCCCCAATTTCATGAAAATGTTGAAATAATATTTTTTTTTGTTAGCTTGAATTAAATTTATATATAAATATAATGAGAATATTGCTTTGGATATGATATGGTCAATTGTTTTAGCAAAATTAAAAGGATGTTACCCCAAAGGATGTTACACAGAATACCAGAATATGAATGGAAACTTAAAAAGAAAATTTAAGTATAGCTAATGAGAGAGAGAAATCATTCTCTTTACTACACAAATCAAGGAGTTGTCACAAAAATATTTCTTCAACAGACTAGTGATATATTGAATTCCTAATTACAGATTCATGAAATCATGGATTCAATTCTGAAATATTTCTAATTTTATTTCCTCTAATGATGTTTTTTTTTATTAACAACACAATGTATAGCAATTTTTACATTTTTTAAAATTAATTAATTGAACACATAAGTATATCATGCAGCTGTTAGTGAAGTGAGCATCGAGAGAATGGAAATGTTGAATAAAATTTTGTTCAAGATACCAAAGCTATTCAGAGAATGACTTCCTAAATGATGGTAAATATTTAAGAAGGAAAGAAAAAAATAATTTACCTCAGTTTTACAGTCAGTTTCATCATCACGTCTTCGATTCAATCCAAGAGATTGGTCAATCAATAAGGAATTGTACATAGGTGTCACAAACAGTTTTTCTGTAGTCGCCAAACGTTCAGCTTTTGGTGTCCATATGTGTAGTGTAATCCAAGTCTGTGAAAGTAGCCATACCAACCATATCCATGCATGCTGTAAAAAACAAATGGTTGCTCATTTATATATTTATTAAAAATAATGGTTAGTGATTGGTTTATAAAAACATTTCTCTGGTCTGAAGAAAAATTAAATACTAGGTATCTTACCTTTTGTATAACAAAATCAGACAATAAGTAAACAGGTGGTTCTTGGAAGAATAAATAATCTGGTATAGTCCCATGGAATACACAAGGATCACCATTTCGCAGACCACATGCAGCAATGAGCAGAGAAATAGATATGGGAATTGTAAGATTGACTGGAAATGCATAACTGAAGCCTTGGATTAGAATTTTGCAAGCAAATTTTCCTGTGAACAAATACAACATTTAATACAAAATGTACAATATTTTTCAGGACTGAATGTTTAATATAGTATTTACAATACAAATATTTACCAAAGATGTAACAGATGTAAGCAGAAAGAATTTGGATTAGAAGGACATAAACCACAGTACTAGACCATGCATCAATAGCTTCAGTGTCATCATTTGGAACAGGCTGAAGATCAACGCTGGTACCTCCTGAATGCTCGATTCTTTTTACCTGTGAAAGATTATGGCAAAATAGTGTACATCAGTTGTAAAATAACTCACATGAATTCTGATGAATATAATATTTATTTCTCTAACCTCATTGATTTCAATTTTGTGGGCTCCAAATGCATCAGGCAAGAGTGCAAAGAAATCCCCCACTGATTCTTGACCCTGGATGAGAACAATCAGTAGGACTGAACAGAAGAAGCAAATCATTTTCCAAATAGAGATGAAAGTGTATGTGAAGTAGCGAGCTTCTTTTAGTCTGTCTGCAACCTTCTTCAGAGATTTACCAATACCTGAAAACCATCAAATTTTATATTATATAAAATAAGTAATGCACATAGTCCTAGGAACATACCAATATTTGGATCTAACTGTATGACATCTGACAAGTATTGAAAACAAATGCTCTGAAATTGAAATCTCCTTTCTCTCTATTTATAATATGATAAGGAGTGTTGAGGGGCTTTGGCAATTTTTAGGAAACCATAAACACAAAATTCTGTCAGGTGTTACTGCAAAACAGGAAATTACACCTGAGTTCTGCATCCAAGAGATTTAAGATGAAAAAAATTAGTTTAGAGATTAATGCATCACATATTATTATATTATCAGGCATCACCTGAAAATGATTCATCATATGCCCTTAAAAAACAAGTTTTGTTTTCCCATAGAGACAAAAGTTTTGTGCAGTTAGGAGAGTTCTGTGAGGATACTAGTTTGGCAGGGACATGAAGGGAGACAGGTTGGACCTAAATTATGTTTCTTAAACAGTATTCTACGAAACAAGTCCTTTTTGAACAACCTATTTAAATTCTAGAGATTTAGTTATTTTGGATGCCTCCATTCTAAAGCTTGTGTAGTCAGAAAAGCATAGAAACCCAAAATCTATGTACCTCGTAAAATTAAACTGAAGGAAAAAGACGGAAGTATCTTTCATGGTGAAATTAAAGGGACTCTGATTTACTCTGCAATGTAATATCAACGCATGGCAATATTAGAATGTTACGATTAAGTTTTAAATTGCCACATTATAATGCACACAATTTTAGGTTGCCACATTATAATTCTAATTAAATGTTGCTCAGTCACCTTTTTTAAAAACTTTTGAACACCCACAATAAACACTTCCAAAATCTTTTGCTAATAATTTTATTTATTTTTACATTCAGATGACGTTTTGGAGACTTGTTTTGCCTCCCTCACCAGGTACAGCAGAAAATTTAATTATAAAAATAGTTCAAATGCTGAAGCCAAAATTATTTTCACAAAAATTATTTTATTTTGCGAAAAACATTTTAGCTTCATTATTTGTGGGAGGGGGGTGTCCAACATTTAAATAAAAATTTCTGATGCACACTACCGGGCCTATGCTGAAACGCATTCTAGTTGAAAGATTAGCAATTCTATAACGGGTTCTACTATGAACCACTTTCCAGTTTTAAAACAACGAGAAGCAACGTAACGAAGTGCAGAGGTTTCGTACGGGTCCAGATAGTACATTTATATTGCCTAGTGCTTGATTTTTAAAATTGTTGGTTGCGGAACTGTGCTTCAGGAGCCATTATATATTTATACTATTATTTAATCATCATCATTATTATTATTATTATTATTATTATTATTATTATTATTATTATTATTATTCCCGAGGTTCCGGAACGCCGTTCCGTCGCGTTCCACCAGAAATGCTGCCAATACATATTATCAACTCACAATTCACTGAAGTATAACGCCGACGTACCGACTCTCGTAAATTCTTGGAACCCACATACTGTACGCTTGGAGATCGTGATAGTTTTCACCAATCCGTTTTACCTGCAGCGTAGCTAAAATTGTTTCGCGAACTGCTAAATAGATTGATACAAGGAACAAATGTGAAATGAAATTGCGACGAAATAACAAGAAGTTACGTGACCGAAACTAGTCAAGCAGTCTACATGAATGCGTTTGAAATTTTGCGTTGGATGTGTTCAAGAACATTTTATGTAAATTATGAAGGTTGAAGTGTTACTGTTGTCGTGGAAATGAGCGAGCGAAGTCGAATTAACCGTATCAAAGTGACTATTGTTTTTACTTGCTAACTAATATCAATTACCTTAACACGTTGTACATGACTTTGAACCACCACGAATGTCGTTGAACATATCACACGTGCCCTATTTAATCATTTGCTGTTTGTTTGAAAGTACTCGCACCCTGGTAAAAACGGGCGTTTGTGGTCACAACCTGTCCGGAAAATCTATCAGGAACGAAACTCGCCAGCTTTTCATTTTCTTAAGGACATTAGTTCGTGGTTGGCCGTGCCATAATTAGCCGTATCGTGGTTAGTCGTATGGAAGGTTAGAACTTGTTCCAGCTGCGGAGATACCTGGAGGTGGGGAAACCCCTAAAGCTGAAATATAGGTCTTTCCTGGGGGAACACCGCCATATCCCGGGTTGTAGCAGGCACTATACTTACGAGACTAGTAACCGTATCAGTTGACGCGCTCGGAAACAAAATTCAATAACTATGTGAAGTTTTTTTAGTAATACTTACCGAGAGTGGAATCCTTGGTGCCCGACACGTAGTTTTCCCACCAGCCACACGACACAAGGAATATTGACACTGGTATGAGCCACAGCACAGGATCGTTGTACTCTAGGAGCGGCCACACGACGAAGCCTGTGGCTTGAGCCGCCACAGCCACTATGTCGATTATGCCCTTGAAGTAGCGTCCTGTCTCCTTCTTACTGCGAGTAATCATTCCTATGCACAATATAAACATAAAGAAAACCTTGCTTACCCAATACAATTTCTATATTTAGTAACAAAGTTTTTTTTACCCAAACGGTGCTTTGAAATGTTGCTTAGATTCTTGAAACAAAGAAGTGATTTTAGATGAAAGAAATAATGAACATAGTCTTTTGTTTCCGTGAATTAACTATCATAAATGTACATCATTTTTTAAAATGAAATATTTTGTATTTTTTTTCAGTAATGTTAAATCATCTATGAAACAAAGAACCAAACATGGTTTTCATTGTGCACAGTTATGCACATTATGCACATTGTCCAAAGTTATTCCATAAATTATGAAGAGATGAGTGAATTATTTTTTTCATTTCAACTTAATACGAGGGTCAGTCTAAAAGTAATGACTCCTATTTTTTTCTACTTAAATAAGATTAGTGAAGTAAAACATTTGAATTTGATACTATTCCTCAAACTTTGTACAATTTACTGCAGTGGTAACTTTTTGCGTCAACATATGGCAGCACAGCAGATGCTTGAAAAGTGGCCGACATCGATGTTCGTATTAGACTACGTAATGTGATTGAATTGTTGCAAGCAATTCATGTTTCATGAATTCATGTGAAATGTTCATTGTCCATCATGAAATACTGATACATGTGTACGGTGATGCAAAAGTGGATGTCTGCTCTGGTAGACAATGTGTTCGTCACTGTACCGCAGCTGAAGGGCAAATTCGTTGGCTGTCGAGAAGAGGAGCGGCGGGTCCGTGACTGCAGTCACGCCATGCAATATTCAGCAACTCGATGACATCGTTCCTGGTGACCGTCTGGTGACTGCAGATGAATTGTATCGAATTATCATCCTCAATTCATCAGTAGTCATCCAGCGATCGCCACGAATGATGTCTCTCAATGGTCACAGCGTCGTTACAGCGACAAACCCATCGTCTAACAGTGTAGTCATCCATTGTGCATCACGGTACACATTTTTCGTCTTTCATGAATGACGATGTGCATTTCACCTTCTGAATTCAAGAATTCAAACACATAATGCTGTCTTATACGAACATCGATGTCGGCCATTATTAAGCGTTGTTGTGCTACCACATGTTGACGTAGAAAGTTACTATTGCAGTGGATTGTAGAAGAAGATTTGCGAAATAGTGCCAAATTAAAATTTTTCACTAAACTAATTTTATATGAGCAGAAAAAAGAAAACCCAAATTTGCGTCTTATCTTGTCAGTTACTGCTCTAAATGTAACAGAGTACATAATTATGAGATTTGATTGAAAATAAAATGAAGGCAGAAAGGATGTCTAAAAAGTAATGTATGATACTCGTGGTAAAAGTGATTTTACTTGCTCGTAGGATCGCACCTATCGGCCTTGTATCGCAACCTTTCCTAATTGCAAACTAAAATGCTACTTGTACCACTTGTATCATAAATAACTATTGTTCTAACAAAACAATCATTTCCGTGTTAAAATTGGCGATGGTGTAACAGTTAGCGTACCGGACTGTTATACCCAAATTCGCAGGTTCAAACCCGATCAAAGTCGTGGATTTTTAAGGGCGAAAAAATCCTTCGTACGCCTTCTTTCGGAGGGGAAGTAAAGCCGGCTGTCCCATGTTAGTAGATTTACTTGCATGTAAAAGACCCTCAAGCCTAAATGACGCCTCTGAGCTAAATTCAAATCGCCTGTTTCTCACCCAAGAAATACCTCTTTCCTCTGCTAATTGGTGAAAGGAGCGTAGCGAAATTTGCGTGGTCAGACGGAAGTGCGGGCCTGATGGCCCGTGTCTCGCCACGTAAAATAAGGCAAATTCAATTCAATTCAAAAAATGGCAAAACAATTTATTTTACCGAGCACGCCCGGAACGAAGCACACGCAGTTGGTCAACATGGCTCCCTTGATGACGTCCAGGTTAGGCAGGACTATGTACATGAGAAGAGCCATGCCCACGACGTGGAAGGTCTCCATGACGAACACCAGGAAGAACTCCGGGAACGTGGGTCTTCGGCTGGACTTGAAGAAGCATATTCGCACCGACCTAATTAAGGTGCCCAGTTCAGGTACCATGTAAGCGATCATGAGCGCCCACATCCAGGCCACTCGTTCGGATGACGGCAGGATTGCTATATAATTCCTGTCGCGCCCTGCGAGGAGGAAGAACAGAAAATTAGGTTATTTGAACATTCAGTGTTTTTTTTAGTTAAACTACCTTTATCAGCACATTTGGTTTTAATTTATACACGTGTTAAAGTAAGCTGAACAAGTGTTTTAAGATAAACTTAGTATCATTTATTATTTCTATCACATATTAAGAAGTTTCTAAAACATTTTATTGCAAGCAGAGGCGTATTTAGGGATACAGTCGCCCAAAGCAAGCAAAGAATTTGTTTCCCTGCAGGTTACTTCAAATTAAGGTTGTTGTTGATTGCTTTTGCGGATATATTCAAAATAGCGGCCTTGTTACAGGCGCCCATGGCACATGCCATGTCTGCCATAGCGTAGGTACGTCTCTGATTGCAAGAAGTAAACCACACAATCAGTTTTTAATTGACTTTTTAGTTGTAATTTATTCGAAGTTATAATTCTAATAATATTTTAATATCCTAATTTTTGAAATAAATGGACAAGGACGTAAATTTTAGGGTGTTTATAGAAAAACTGAATTCATCGTCCGTTTTAATAATTCTGAAGAATGAAACAAGAGGAAAACATTCGATAAAGTGCTGGCTAACTTCAACTATCCTCAGAACAAGTATAAATATAGCTCATGCAGCCCAGCATGTTCCTCTTTTAATTAGGATAAGAGAATTGAGCTTGTAATGATGAGTTATTACTGCCACAATTATCTCGCGATGTATGTAGCAAATAATCATCCAGGTATACGCAAAAATGTTATTAAAGCTAGAATTGAACATTTCATCAACACTTTATAATCTTCTAGAAATTGCAAATATTGCGTTCAACCAAACGGTGTTTTGTTAGCGTAAACTAATAACTTAAGAAGCAATTTATGTGTTTGCGGTCTTTATCAACGTTTTTATTTGAATCGTTATGAAGCCCTCGAAGTCTTAGCCAACATCGCCAAATCTACCGCGAGAATATCGATTTGCGATTCGAATTTTTGATTTCCCCGCTGTAGATCTTATGATAACGTGTGGCTAAGAAGATGTCCATTAACTACATCGAAGAAGACATCTTGAATATTTGCATTTTCTATACTATTTCTCGCGCAACTTTTCTTGACCGACGGATTGAAGAAATGCGGGTAGAGTGGGGGTATTAGTTACGAAATCGGCCACTACATTTTATGAAGCAATGCCAATCTCTGGAGAATCAGTCATGCCCTTGCAATATTTGCTGCGAGCTTTTGCCTTCATCTGTTTATTGTGTGGAGGAGGAAGCAAGGTCGTCGTTCAAGAAAAGTTGCGCGAGTAATACTAACCCAATTCCTTGTTGCAGTAGGTGATGGTCTTCCCCGGTCGAAGTTGCGAAGTCATGAAGAGCATGGTGCCTTTGGCAATCACCCCGGAGCCCAGGACGATGATGAAGGTGAGCAGGTACGCCACCACCTTGAGCGATTTGACGGTGATTTCGAGGCATCGCTGGTTCGCCATCGACCCGCTGTCCGTCTTCGGGGGTGGATTGCGGAACACGTCCCATCCTTTCGTCTCCGGCACAGCTCGCTGGCTGCAACACAACAAACGTACAAAATTAACCACAGCCAAGAAGTGGTGAACTTTTGTTTAAGCAATCTGTGTAGACTCCCAGCCTTGGTTGGTTGGGGCGGAAGTCTTTAGATCAAATACTAATCCAAAAATACTGCAAGAAATGTGTGGTGTTCAGAGGCACAAGATGAACTCATCATCCTCATCATGATCATCATTATAATCATCATCCTAAAGGCCAAAAGTGCCTTGTCGCTGCCGCCGTGAAATTCTGTCCTCCGCTGTCCTTTTTATATCTGCATAGTTTTTGAATTGTAATTGGATTGGAAGTTGTTCGAAAATTTTAGGTCTCTCTCCCTCTCTTTTTCTATTTAACATTTCGAAATTTAAGAATTTAATATGCCTAAAAATGTGCCCAAAGAATTCTGCTTTCCTAACCCAAATGGTTTTTAAAAGAGATCTCTTCTCTTTCACCTTTTCTAAAATTTACATTGTTTGAATTTTTTTCAGTCTAGGAAACCTTAAGTATTTTTCACTGCAACCACATCTCGCAAACTTGAAAACGACTCCTGTTCGTTTTTAAAAGCGTCCATTCATCACATCAATATTCTATATTCATCACTCCAGGTATAGCTTTTGAGAAGTAAGCTAATATTGTTTAATTGCTCTGAAAATGCATACCTTTTGTTGTTTTTTTTCACATAAAAATCCTATTTTGTCAAAATAAAACAAATGTAATAAAGTATTTAAAATGAGTTCAATATCTTGAGCTGGTGGTAGCCATAAAGAAGTGAATGTGTTATAAATACAACCCTTATGATTATTATCTTCAGTGATAGTACGACTACTTGAATTTTTTTACATCAAATCTTTACTCAAATCTTCCCGTTGCTTGATACACTCATTGCCCTGATATATTAGGAATAACACATTGGTTCAGATATTGCATTCTACAAATCAGGTGTTAGAGTAGGGTCTTTAAAAATGCGTTCAGAATTTTAAATATTTCTTCGATACTTCAATTTTAATGTTTTCAATCTTCGTTAATGTTTTCATGTAGTGTTTTAAGAGACAAGAAAATTAGAACAAAAGATGTATATCCTAAAATGTATAGCTCTTTTCCAACATTCTTCAGGATTGGGTATACTCAATGTTTTCCTCTCGTTGAGAATGAATGACATCCTTCACTTAGGAAAACATTCATTTTCCACCATTATTACAGAATAAGACGCTTATTAAAATACTGTGTTCATTTTCAGATGAAGACCCATTAACACCATAAGTGGCAGACATATACACAAATGAGTTTTAAACACTTCAAGGCATTTAAAAACATCAGGTATCGAGTTCATTTTCAAATATTTTAGAATGTCTCGCCTTGCAGCTGTGCCATTTGAGAAAAGATCTTTTTCCGCTTGGCTTGCGATGTGGAAAGAGGCGAGCGTCTGCTGCCAACGACAAGTCAGGCGAGCCTCCGCTCCGAACGGGTGGCCTCGACATCGTTGTTTCTCTCTGAGGGTGAAGTCTTCGCTTCGCTCTAAAGCATGGATTCCCGAACTTTACTTGCATCGACTCCTTTTAAAAGAATTCCTTGCTCCATTGACCACTTTACGTTTTCCATATATTTTTCAAGTATGGTAAGTAGTATAATTTCAAGCCGCATGGACGCAGGCCGAAAATTATATGAGAAGGATATAGCTGTAAGTAAGAGAAGTTTTACATATTCATTTAAGGAAAATAGAAAAAACCAAAACTTTGTTTCGTTAACAATTAAGTTTTGAAGACTAATGAAATGAACGAGGTTTACAAATTCTTAAACAATAAAACACTGTTCATTGTAAACACAGAGTTGAATATGTTTCTGAAAATGTAATTGAAATATTTTGTAGAATATTGATCTTGTGTTTACCAAAATCTGAACATGTACGGGTTGTTGGGAACTATGGCAAAGTAATCTCACTATTCACCTTAACTTAGAAACTTAATTCTCTCAAATACATGATTTTATAACCACTGAATTGTTTGTGTGTAAGGACACATGCGTCAGATAATAGCTAGACATTATGTGTATACCCACTCACTAATCTTTGCAATTAAAAATACTCTTCGAACATAGAAAACTTCCAATTATTGCTTCGATAACCTTACACTCACATGTTTTCTTGAAGAGGAAATACCGAATGCTTTCAGCAGTTCGCTTACAACTCACGTAATGAAACAATGATCACATTACTGAGGATAAGCGTTCATTCCATTAATTTTATTATTTTATTAAAATTTAATGTTTTTACTATAAAACAAGTTAATAATATAGCAACAGATACAACATTTGCACTACCTAAAAAATGCATTACCGAAACAAAAATCACGAAATTTGGTTGAGAAGAACTTTTTTGCTCAAACTTTATTCTAAGCGAAAACAATTGTGTTCTAAATATAAAGGTTTATGCAATTTTCGAAAAGTTTTAATAAAAATCCTGCAGGCGGACCTTCCTTAACGGACCCTTTCTTCACTCAGACAATTTCTTAACAGACACTGGCCGTTAAGAGTGGCTGTCCGTTCCTCTATTTTGTTGCGTGTTGTCAATATAACAAACAGTAAAGTGTTATGAAAAAGCATCGCCTCTACCCGAACGAGGTCGTTACAAGTGCTCGCAGTTCCGCCGAGATCCCTAATCTAAGGACCAACATTTGCAGCCTCCATCGTGGGAGCGCAGTTCCCACGAAGGTTAGATCCTCGTGCCCAATGTGAAGCGAAGCGTCCGGAAGCGCTGCGGGTGGAGGAAGAGGAACTGGAAGGCAGCCTTGTTAGTGGCCTTTATGTGGATGTTGCACGGAAGAAAAGCCAGCGAAGAGGAAACACGCTCTCCTTTGCAAGCTTGCTTGTCGCACGGATGGGTTGAATACTTCCTCGTGTAATATATGTTCTTTTGAATGCGGATTCATTATATTTTGCAACAATGCAGTATAACGAGACGATCAAAGTAAATATCAGGTTTATACGGTCTTCTCTCACCAAGTAATTCAGTTCATGTGAAGGAGAATACAATAGTTTCGTATGAAAGGTGATAATTGTTAATAAGTACATGCAATACTCTTATTATCCGAATTCTTTATTTACGTAACCTTATATAAGAAAATAAGCCGATGTTCCGACGTCAAATTGGCGGAGAATACCGTGCAGATTGTTGAAAAATATGTTCATATTCTTACTCACAAATAAAGAGCAAAACAAGAAACAAAACTATTCGTTATATTACGATTGCCTTCTACAACATACATTCCAGTAACTTTCAATATCTTCTCTTTATTTTTTCTCAACGAAAGAGACAAGTTCACTAACAGAAAAGTTCATGGCACTATCTTCACGGTCTATAATGAAAACCCAACGACCTCGAGAGCAGGAGCAAGAAGGAACGTCTTCAGAGGTATATTATCGAGACGTTACACTTTTTAACTATTGCGTAAGGTAATGTCAAACGAGAGCTTGAATGCCACCTAGTCAATACTGTGCTCGGCATCCGATAATACTGCATACATTGAATTGAGTTTCCTTATTACAGTACAAAGAAATGTCCCACAAGACAAGACCTCAAGATTTCTACTAAACACATTTTCGTGAAATAAACACGTACGGTATCTAGGGGTTTAATTGACGAGAAAATGTTCCTCAGTAATTGTCCCCATTGTTTAGGTATGGCTAGTGCAATTACGCTGACGTTCGACTTTTCCATAAAGTGCCAATATATTGTCGAGTATATGAGAAAGGATTCAAGCTGTTGCTGTACGGAGGGGGAAGGATTTACTGGATCTGGGGTTCGGTTCCGCTGACTGGCTCGCATAGTGATCGGCTGCGCAATGGGATGATTCAAGAGCGCGACCTTAGACCCCTTGTTACGGTTTTTTACTTCGGCATCCGCCGGAAAGTGATCGGCAGAAATCACGGGAAATTGCCGATCATAGCAGCCAGTATCACAAATTATTGTCCCAGTAAAAAAAATTCTTTGACAAAACTGCCCAGGTCAGAAAAAATGCCATTGTAAGGGCATATAAGAAATAATGAATATTAAATATGCGTAATTACAAACGTTCAATGCAGATCTAAACACATTCGTTTTTTTTACAATTTGGATTGAATCAGGTGTCAAGAATTGATCCCAACTAACTCTGGTGCAATCGATATAGGACGCTATTAAAGCTATGTTTATCTCAGTTTGTTTGCATTTCTTCAGTTCAGATCACTACAGTAATTGAGAAAGTAGTTATTCGTTCACGTATACCATGAAGGGTGGTGAGTAAATATAAACACAATCTAATGTTTTTTCGTGGAAGTTGCTACTGCTTGATATACAATTCACAAGCGATCTCAAAGAAAACGGTATGACTAATAAACAAATTTAAACATTAAAAAACTGTTTGTGACTAAAATATTGGTAAGATTTCTAGAAGTGGGAAAAATATATTTTTTACCGATTAACTCTAATTAAATGTTTGTGAAATACCATTTCATTTTTCTATTGAACAAACATGCAGTGTTTTTCAATAAACACGTGCAATCTAGGTTCTACAGACCACCGGCCTCATCGTCATGGGCCATCGGTGGCCCGTGGAATACAAATTGAGAAACACTGAGTTAGAAAACTCTGTCAGTCACTTTTCTCCGTTTCCTTTCATCACCACTTGACGTTTTTTAATATGAAAGTCGTCCGGTTACAAAACGTCCACCCATACAGGAGAGTTTCACCTCCAGTAATGTTCAGTTGTGATAGGAATCTCCCGAATATTCATACATTTTGAACATAAAGAACACCATCCAAGAGCACAAATGTTACTAAATTTAATACCGTTCACAAATTAATAACATCAGGATAATTATAATAATTTAAATTAATGTCAATTAAACACGTTACGACTTTGTGATTTTATTTGTAGTTGTAGTTTGTAGCGGACATTTATTTGCAGTTGCCTGACAAAAGGTGAATCTTAATATTTAATTGACTGTCCAGGTGACGCCGCGTCCAT